TTGCTTCTCCCTTTGGAGTAACCAAAAGGCCTGCCACTGCTTTCAAATCCACTCATATTCTAATGAGAAAGAATAAACCTTTTGTCTGATAGTTCTTGGCAAAATCAGAAAATTTATTTTAATTGGGTCCATTTATGTTTTGTGCTCATCACCTTGCAGTCAAGGGAATACAATGGGCCAATTTGTTTAGGTCTTCCCACATCCCCCGTTGGATGTGGTGGCAATGGGGGCAGAACCCTATCCAGACTCTGCACTAAATGTGGGAAGGGCGGGCACCTAAATGGAAATAAGGGGGCTCTTTCGGGAAGAAGATGGGACAGATCGGGAGACTCAAGAAACAGTTGTAAATGTGATCCATCAGTGATAGGGTTTTTTTTTCCTTCTATTTTCTACTTGCTACATGAATAAATGAGAAAGGCAGTTACTTATTTGTAAAGGCATCAGATTATTTCCTTAGAGATTCTTTCTCTGTGTGTGTGTGTGTGTTGAATATCTCCGATGACTGATATTGAGGTGCAGATTTAGAGAAGTGCTCTAGTATCTTCTAGCTAATATACTTTGGTTTGTATCCATTGAGTACTATTTAGAAACTTCTCTGTAACAGCAATAGCTAAGAGAATGCATTAGTCAAAAGGGCTGATTCACAGCTCATCTCCTCAGGGGTCTGCATATATGGAGGTCACTTTTCAGTGATGAACTCTATGAGTTCAGGGATGAACCCTATGAGGGCTACTCCCTGTCGGTTAACACCACCCATCCTGCTTTCTAACTGCCATTTTGGAGAATTGAAGCTTATTTTATGACAATTATCATTATCAACTGTGTGTGCCAATATGGCATAGCAGAAGTTTATCAGGCTTGGAAAGGAAGTTCTGTGAGATATATTCCTATTTTTCATCTTGTTCAGTTTTTCAAAAGAAGCTTAAAAGACATTGAAAGAATCAAGAAATGGGCCCAGGGGCATGTATGGCTCATCATCATTTTGAATTCAAAGCATAGTAATCATAAAAGTAAACTGGCTTTTAATAGTTTCAAAATGAACATCATTATTCATCAAATTTACATCTCGTGCACAAAGATAAATATTTTCCAATCATGCTGCTCAAAGGGCAAATCTCAGGGTGTTTGAATTCTTAAAGGGTTATGATATGAAGCTTCTTTGTATATGAATGATTTAGAATTAAACATTAAGCTAAATTCTCTCATTCTAAGATACTGTCTTGAAAAAGACAATAATCTAATTTATTCTGGTTCTTTCTGATTGTCCAAATTCATTTTTTGGACTTTAGTTACCTCATTTCTCAAGTAGGGTAGGTGGATTTCTTGAACAAAGGACTTTTCTGCTGGATTTAGGCAGGGTAGGGTGCTTTGTTGGCACCCTCTGGGAGATCTAAAAAAACATCCAGGTCATGGAGAGAGGGGAAATTTGGGGCAGCTGCAGGCCATGTATCTGAGCTTTTTGGTGGTGTCGAGTGCTCATTTCCTCTATTTATTATTTCATAGTCCAAATCATATTTATTATAATTTCTTGGGCAAGAGAAGAGTGTTTTTTAGCAGTGAGTCACCTCAGGGGGAAATCTCAGTTTATAATAATTTACAATAGTGGATACTGTGGTCTCTCTTCTTAAACCCATCCAACTAGAGGTCCTTCTACATCATCAAAACTCTTCTCCTTTAACACACACATTACTGGATGTCCTGGTCATCACCCTCTCATAATAGGACACATGAAAATGGGACAGTCCACAGGGCTTCTTATTAAGATAGAAACCAAGATATTTTGGGCCCCAGACTGGTATTGTTCCTGCTGGATGGCCCATGGGTGATGTGCTGGCGACTTCAGAAGGGAAATTCTCATTGGTTAAGCAGGAAAGAATACACTCAGATCTCAGGTATAGATCATTATATTCTATCCCTTGATTGGAGTAAGACATGGGTGCTGGTTTCAAAGTATGAGGTGGGCAAGAATTCAGCTGGATATCAGCCATAAGTAAAATGAAGAATACAAATATTGCTAGAGTTTTCTTGCCTTTAGTGTAAATTTCACTCGCACTAGTATCTATTCAAAAATACTTAGGGGAAATCTGATTTATTGCCAGACCAATTACTGGCATGGGGATAAGGGTACACAGGAAAATGGCAGTCCTTTCCTTGGGTAAGGTAGAAAGTTCCCACGGTAAGGGACACTGTGCAGATAGTTCCATAAATGTCCACAACATAAATATTAGACAAGAGTGGAGTAATTACAGATATTATATTTTAAATTTTGGAAATAATGACTTGCATCATTAATTCCAATATTTCACCTCTTCCATTTCCTTATTTCCTTTACATTTATTATTTCTTAACATTGTTTTATTTTTTATTATAGTTTGGAATCAACACTATTTTGTATTAGTTTCAGGTTTACAGCACAGAGGTAACTGAATCTTCAGCTTCATCAATGCCTCCAGTATGGTATTGCAAAAGACCGCTTCTCACCCACCATGTGTCTGAAACATATGAATATTATATGGTTGAGTCTTGGCCCATATCATGTTGTCTACTGTTTATATAGCTTGTTTCTCTTTCTGACAATTAGGTTCCTTATTCTTCTGGTTGTTCTGGGTTCAGTGGCTCCAACATGGCCCCAGGACCCTAACCATCTACATGAAGCTCTCTCATGGAGTTTACACCTTGGCCATGGAGGCAACATGGGGCTGCTGTCCACTCCAAAGTCTCTCTGTATCTCATCTGCCTCTGGTTTACTTTCTTCTCTACCCTCAAGGATCTCACTTTCTGTGCCAGCATCCAAAATTCCCTGGGACTTGTTTTCTTCACTCATCAATTTGGGTACCTGTCTGAGTATATCTTCTCCTCTCTGGTTGCCCAGCTTAGCACATATTGCTGGGAAAACACTGCCCCAGTACAGAGTTACAAAACTGAGAGTCCGTGATATCAAATCTCTGTGAGCCTTTCCATGGCTTGGCAGTCAAGATTCTTCTGACTTGGTTCTCTTTCATACTGCCCACAGCAGCTGATGGAAATGATTAAAATATATATTCTAAGGTATATGTTACACAACTCTAGTTTTCTAGCACAGGTAGGTAATACAAAACTCATAGCATCAATGAGTAAATGAATTATCGACTGAAAAGATGAATCCTTCATGGGGAAAACAAGAGTTGGAATGCAAATTGAAATATACATATTTCCTTTGAGTTCTGTTGGGTACCTAGATCTTTACAGTAAATATTCATTTCTGCCTAAATTTTAAAATATTCCAAAAAATAAGAAGTCCACCTAACCTCCAAATATTTTCATGAAGAATAAAATCCCATTCTATAATTTTGGTAAGTAGAGTCTCAACTTCAATATTCATCTTGCAAAATTAATCGCTGAAGTTACAAATATCTATTTTTCACAAAATGGGAGGGGAAAAATTACAATATAATTTGATGAAATAAAAATGAAAACAAGGCTTGGAACATGTCATTCACATGAGTTGGAAGGTATCTGAATACCATTACTTACCAAATGGTAAGTAATGGTATTGATAAGTAATTATAACTTATCAAATGGTACAGTAAGTTTATAGTACTTGTAATCTCTTGAATTAAGAAGACAACTGAATAATAAAGAACTGTCATAAAGCTGACTTGGAAGGATTTCAAATAGAGTAAGTTTACTACAATTTGGGAGAAGCTAGAATTTATATTTTAAAGGCAATCTTTAGTGAAAATTGTAAAGGATCTTTGGAGTTAGTGGCTGGCATTATGCTAATGAAATAAAAAATATATGAAAGAAAAGTAATATGAAACATGTGTAACCACATTTATTCACAAAATAACTCTGCCCTTGAGGAAGCGAATGTGATAGGTTGCCTTGTCTAGATTCTGCCCAGCCCACCAAGGCCTCTCTGAATGGCCCCATTGCCCCACCTCCCGTCAGGCACTTTATACACCATCTCCATCCTTCGGTCACTGGTGAGTCTGATGAGCACCTTGGCCTGGCTTGTGTGGACTCCAGGAGCAGCAATGGCCTCGAAGGAGAACAATGAGGCAACTGTGACAGTCCTTTCTTCAGGGAAGTTTCCTCCCTGCTTGTGGCACCTGGGTCTTTACGGTAAAATTTCCTTTTCTGCTGAAATCTAGTAAATATTTCATGCTGCTGGGACTGAGGTGAGATATGTTCACATAGAGTTGCTGGTATTGTAAATTGCTTCAAGCTTCCTGAAATATATTTGCAATATGTATTAAAAATATCAAAAAGTTTATAGCTATGTACTCAGTTGTACCACTTCTAGGAGTGTATGTATTATGAGTAATTTATCAGATTTATGCACTTGAATGTTCATCATGGAGTAATTTATGATACCAAAAAAAATCAGAAAAAAATCTAAGTGATTCAGTTTGGGGACTAGCTAACTACATTAAAATGTGTCATTATTTTGTAATGTTATGCAATTATTTCAATGTTTTAGAAAATATTTAATGGTGTAGCAATCTACTGTTATGACATTGAGTGGAAAATCTGTATACAGAGTACTATACACATTATAGCTCCAATGTCATGATTTGTATATGCATGTGTATATGATGGATGCAAAGAAAGTAAAAGAAAATGCACCTAAGTGTTAAAAATGGTGATTTTTGAGTGAAAAAATCTATATTTTTATGCTTTTCTATATCTTATCAATTTTCTACATAATCATCTATGTAATTAGAAAATTCCTATTAAAATGAATAAGATAATGTATTACTTTGGTGTTCTAAGGAATGACTTTTTGTTACATGAGCAACTTTGAAAAATTCAAAATGAGGTATTTATTCCATGTTGTGCAGGAGAATAAAATGTACTCTTTGTTATTTCAGTGGCAGGATATATAACATCCATAACTCACAGTAGTAAACCATCAGCTATATAAAAATTTAAATGGAAATACGTTCATACTTATGCGCAGTTGCCTTGTGTGAAAAATAAATCAATATCTCTTTTAAGTAATGAAGATGAAATATACTGCAACAAAATTATTTTATTTTAATGTAAATATAACTTTACCAGCTTTTAATCAAGTAACAACAGTTTAGAGATATAGATATACATACGCATATATATGTAGAATACTTTTTAAAACAGTAAGGCATACTTTACGATATATAATCTTTTTTCCACAAAATATATATACTTCTCAGATATGAAATGAAACTAATGACCAGGAAGACCCTATAACCTGGGACCAGAGTTAACATCTTTATAATAAGTAGTGGAACTTTTATACACCATTATACAAATAAGCCATTTAGCTGGCATGTTTTGGCAGTGTGAATCAATAAGACACTGATGGAATTTCACTAGTTTCTGAAACTTGACAACCACTGGTTAGCAAGCCTTTGTACAAAATGTGATGTGCAGTAGCAGGTACAAATGGACCACAGTTACTAATGGCTAAATAGGCACAAAAGCTTTACTGCCATTTGGAAACTGGGGAGAGCAATCTTGATCTTCTGGTGCTTCTCTAAAGGTTTTACATATTCTAAATACTTTTAGGTGGAAATTGTAAATAGCAGAACAAGAATAGACTGGGGAGATGGCATTTCTACCAGTAAAATTTTCCCCAATCAACACAGGCATCCAGTATCTGACACTGTTCTTTGACCAGCCATCATCTATCTAATGCAAAATGTGGCCAAATGCAGCTTTGCTTTGTTTTGTTGCAAAGGAAAAGCTTTTGTTCAGAGCTTTGCATAAGTCACTTCAGTCCACATAATTCACTTTCTTCTTAAACTTCTGAAAAATAGCTGATGCTTATTTGGTAGGGAAGTACTGTGGAGGAATGTGTCTCTTGTTCCTTTTCCTACAAGATTACATCACAGATGGGTTTCAAGTGTGTTACTCAACCTCAACACATGGGGGAGGCTTCTTGGTGGATGAGTTTCCATTATCCGAGGGGCGGTAAGAAAGCGTGCTCATTTTTGTTGATAAACTTGAGTGGGATTTGGCCTTTGGGGGAATGTACTTCAGAAGCTGGAGAAAATATTTTTTAAATTTTTTCCCAAGAAAGCCATAGAAGAGAGGATTAAGACAATTGTTAAAATAAGCTATGCAAATAGTGATGGGCATGGCGGTATCAACGATATCTGTGATTTTACAGTCATGTATGATGCCCAGCTGAATCAGAACATCCAGGAAAGTGAATATTTGATGGGGAACCCAGGAAAAGAAAAAGAAAAGCACAATTGCCAAGATTATTTTGAAAATATCATCATTTCTTGGCTTGTTCTTCTGAATTTCATAAGCCTTCTTCAAAGCCTTCCAGATGAGAGTGTAACTTGTAAGAATGATCAGAAAAGGAAATAGGAAACCCAGTATATTCTTGGTTAGGCCCAGCCCTACGGGGATGGTTGAATTCTGGGACTCGTAATGGAAAGCACAAACTGTGACATTGGTGTTCTCAATGAAAAATACGTTTCGGTGGATTACAGTTGGCAAACTGGCTAAGCCAGCCAGTAGCCAAATAATGATGCAAGTGACTTTGGCCACAAGCATTGTGCGCCGGAGGCGGGACTTCATTGGGTGAACGATAGCCAGGTAACGATCAATGCTTAGACATGTGAGCAGAAACACACTGGCATAGAGGTTGAAGCTGACACTGGCTGAAGCGATCTTACATAGGTAATTGCCAAAAGGCCAGTGGTATTCCATAGCAGTGTAGACGGCCCATAATGGCAAAGTCAGTAAAAAGCATAAGTCGGCCAGGGCTAAATTCAAAAGAAAAACACTGGCCACAGTCTTCATTTTCATATAAAAGTAAATGACAATCACCACCAAGCTGTTTCCAAATATTCCCACCACAAAGATGATGCTGTATAAGGTAGGGATCATTACAAATATGTAATCGTGTCTTCCAGCTTTGGGACAGTCATCTTGGATTCTTTTAATACCATCTTCAGTAGTAGAGTTGAGGATCATATTGACCTTGTGGGTTAATTAATCTCAGACCCTAATGCCAGATGTACCTGGAGAAAATAAAAATGAAAAGGAAAAAATTAACTTTCAATTACAAATGAAGTTTTATTTCTCAGTCATAAGTGGAGTAACTCAAATTTAATTTTAGAAAAAAACTAGATCATATTTTCTAAAGAAAAACTGAACCAATGAAGTCTAGATTATACCTTTAAATTAATTTTTAGAGCATACTGCTTTTCTGGGAAGTGATAATATTCTCCAGATAAATAAAATTATGTAGGTCCTTTATGTTTTTTCTAGAAGTAAATTCTAGCTTCCAAATTAATAAAAATATAATCTAAGTATCAAAAGAATTAAAAATTAATTAGTTACTCAGAAAGCTTGAGTTTTTCCTGAGGTAAGCAAGGCTTATTAATTTATCTTTAATCTCAGAAATGTGACACTTCAGTATCTTATTTTTAAAATCATTTCTTCCATCTCACAATCTTTACTTAGGTATACACTGTATTAGCATCCTCCTTAAGTGGTCAGAAGAGCTGTCTCTAGCTTACTGAGGGACTGGTCACTGTGGGAACTGTTTTAGGAGGGAATAAGGGTGAGGACTTGAAGCTTTGGGGAGTAGCATTCTTTCTATGAGTTTTCAGACTGCTACGGGCAATAACCACATTCGTTAACTTCCAACTCTGCCTAGCAAAAGGGTCTGAAGCTCCAAATTTTTGTGCCCGCCAGCCATTTCTGGAGTTAACTTTATGATTAACTATCTGTATATTAAGGATGTCAAATGACTAAATTAAATCAGGATTATCAACATGTTTTTAGTGGGGGTTTGAGATAGCAGCAGTTCTTTAGGATTCTGGGAAGAATCAGATGTTTACAAAAGAGCTCCATAAACACCTCTGCAAATATTTCCTCCAATATTTAACACAATCAACAATTAAGCTCTTCACATATGTGATTTAGAAGATCAACATATTCTGCTCTAGATTAAGAGTCCATCAGAAAACCCTCAGGAGCGAGGCTGAAAATGCTGTGAGGGCCCCATCACGGGAGGTGGCACAGGCACCCTCTGCGGTGAAAGTCAGCTTTAGGCACAGGCAAGGTTGGCCAGGCACAGCAGCAGTGCTGGGTGAAGATATGTTCCTACACCAAGAACAGGGCCCTACGTGAGCCTGGCTGTGCATTCTCCTCGTAGCAAAGTGTTCTGGGCAAGAAAAGAAACAGGAATAAAACACTGCTTGTCTGCCCAGGAAGGCTGTGTGGCTGTGTGGCATCCCGAGGGCTGGATGAACACACATACCTAAGGCAGTATCCGCCTTGGCACAAAGTGTTGCTGTGAAAAAGATGAGATTGACGTAGCCAAATTTGAAGAGGTAACACTGTGAAGGAAGCAGTTCTTTGGTGGTTATTTTGCCTGCCCTACAGGAGAATAACTGCCCATCCAAGTTTTTGGTTCCGTGTCCTCATTAACTTCTCCTTTTGCACTTCTTAGCCTTACATAATCTAAATCTCTTTCTTCACTTTTCATTCATGAGGGCACTGGTATTCACCAACAGGCAAATGTCACATCCCCTGTAGTGCCTTCCCCAATTTTCTGGGCAATTGGCTGTTCCATTTTTAGAGTAGCTTTGGTATTTGGGGTATAGGTTTTAATACTATATTATAATGGTCTGTTGACATATCTGCCTTCTCCAGTGGTTTGCCAGCTGCTTGAGGGTAGGGCCTGTTTACTAGTGTAGGCCCGCCACATTCTAGGGCGCACATGGTAAGTGTCTGAAGAAGAGAGTGAGTGGACAAGTGAATGGATGAATACATGTAACCTAAGGGCTGACAGTACAGACAATTGACTAATTTCTATGGGGCTAATAAAATCAATTTACATTCTGCTTCCAAAATCAAAATGAAACCAAAACAGACCAAAAAAAGCCCTTAACACTTTAAGAAATCTGTTGTTTACCAAAACATAACATAAAAAGAAGGAATACTTTAATAGAAGCTAGGGCCAGGCTCTCAGAGAGGTATGACCTATTTCCACCTCACCAAGAATTTTCCTACACTTTGCTGATTTTTCAGTTCATTCTATTATAATGAATAAAATTACACCAAATTAGAAGTATAAATTCATTTAGGTAAACAAATATTCTCTATTAAAATTAAATGCTACATTAAAGGTTTATGTGCTAGCAATCATTTGTACCTTAATGTGGGTTAATTTACTTAGTTGTTCTCCTAATATCTAGTTAAGATCAGTTGGATTTTGCCTAGGAAAAAACTGGAAATGTCAAGGTTAAAGAAATCTCAAAGAGTAAAAGCAGCCTGGGTGAACTCCATAACTGAAAACTAGGGCAGAGGCAAATATTTGTTTCCGCTTGAGCGCAAGGGCATTGAAAGATAGGAATAAACTCGATGCATTGGGATCCCTTGGGTGTCCTAAGCTTGGGTGCAGGGAGGAAATTCTCCTCTCTTTCTTCTTTCCTCTCTTGTCCCTACTTTGAGGACACACAGCTAAGGCTGGGCTCATTAATCCTGTGTCTAGAGTCAGTAATGTGGAACATTACCTACTAGGCTAGAACTCTAACCATCATTTATAAAAGAGCTTCTATGGGAAAAAGTTTGTGTTTGAGAAGACCAACTTATAAACATAGTTTTGGAGCCCAATCCCTTCACAACCTGAGATCAGCCTCTCCTTCAGTTCCCATCAATCCAGGCTGAGTAATATTTAATATGTGAAAGGTTGCTCAGAACAGCTAGGGGAGCATCCCTGGAAAATGAAGTGAGGTATTTATTATTTTAGTGAGTTTATCATGTGAGAAACTCTGGACAAAGCACTGAATATACTACGTAGAAGAGAAATTTACATAAGTGTTTATATAAATAATGACCAAGACTTCTTATCTAGTAAGGAAAGAAGTTTGCTCATACTTGATGGTAGCAAAAAAGGAAGAATAATTTAGTGATGGAAACAGCAGGAAGAAAATGCAGGGAAGCAGAAATGCAAATGGTGCACTCGGTGAGCAGTTATCCATTCATCATCCCATATTCACTGAATACCTTACTATGTGCTGGAGTCTGGGATGTAAAGTGAATCAAGTCACACTCCTTCATTTGAGTCTGGCTGGAGGCAGAGGAGCTTTAAAGAGAGAATCATCCCCAGTGTGTTGAACACAACCATGTAAGAGGCATGTGGAATACTGTTTATTACTATTCCAGCCTGGTGGTGGGGTGTGGGGATGGGGTGTGATTAGGGATGTTTGCCATTTGAACTTTGGAGCTTATATGGTGAACAGAGTGGTTAGAACATAAAGGCAACCAGCTGACCAACCAAAGTGGGGTAGAGGTTGTGTCATCACTTGATTTTTCTTTCTTATAAATGCCTCTAGCATCCTCTAGATGGGAAAGTGCCCTTGTACATTTGCAGATGTTGCGCAGTCCTCTGGGAAGGGCTGTGGGGTCTGATGTGCACTGGACGGGAGGGTGACCTGGGCCCTATTGGTGTGTAAAAAACAAGAAATAATATTCTCTGGTCTATACTGTTTCTTTTGTTGTGGGTTTTTTTGCATGAGTATTTGTTAGTAATTTCCCACTGCCCCCCGCCCCACACTGTTTTGGCCCCCTTCACCCATTTCTCCCACTGATTGGCTTCCTAATCTGAGGGTTCTCAGGAAAGAGGAAAAGTGGAGCTCATGATTGGCAGCCACCTTAGTGGACTTCCTTTCTCTTTGAAGCAGAAAGTTGGCTGTTTCGGTGAGTTGAAGGAGAGAGAAATGTGCTGTATTAGGAACCAAATTTGTGAGTGCTAGGAAGCAGCCGTCCTTCAGTTTCATTCTGTTTCTTGTCCCACAGTGGGACAGGCAGGGGGATACTGATAAAGAAGACAGGAGGATGAACTCTCCCTCTTCCTGGGTCTCACCATAGCTTTCACCAAGGCAGCCTCTGGGGCTCACACTAATTTTACAGGACCATTCTCTCTCGGAGGAAAGAAGTTGGGATTTGGGGTCAACGTACTTGTAATGGAATCTACCTTTGCCACTTACAAATCTGTGTGGTTCTGGCTAAGTCACCCTATTTCTCTGAACATGAGCCTCATCATTTTCCTCATCTGTAAGAAATAGAAAAAACAATCCCATTGCACGTGATTGTTGTAGGGATTAAATGAGATAAGGTAAAACCACTGGGCATATCTTTCAAATATTGTTTAGTAAATGTGTTTTGCCCTGGCTGGTGTAGCTTGGTGGATTGAGCGCGGGCCTGTGAAACAAAGGATCGTGGTTTGATTCCCAGTGAGGGCACATGCCTGGGTTGCAGGCCAGTTCCCAGTGGGGGACTCATGACAGGCAACCATACATTGATGTTTCTCTCCCTCTCTCCTTCCCTTCCCCTCTCTCTGAAAATAAATAAATAAATAAATAAATAAATAAATAAAATAAAAAAGAAATGTGTTTTAATGGAATTGTTGCTATCATTTTTTTAATGCAAGGCAAATGCTGACTCCGTCATGCCTCAAAAAATTGTGAGTTAAAAAGGGTTAGTTTATTATTGATAAGCTCTTTTTCTTGCCATTGAAAAACTAAAAATATCAAGCTGTTGTCTTTTCAAAGTATGAGTAAAAAATAATCATAAGCAGCTGAATAAATTTGCTATGAGTTAGGTGGGAACTTTTCAGTCTGCTGCAAACAAAAGGTTGGCTCATGGTGGCCACACCACTTTTATCTATTGCTTGCTTTTGTAGGAGTTACCTTGTAAATCTTGACAGTTTCTCTGGCTCTTAAAAACAAGCACAAGAAAGAAGTTTTTTTTTAAATTCTAGGAATATTTCCCCAAGACTTTTGATTAGAATATTAATAACTTCTTAAGTTTCTAGGCAAGTCAAAACCAATCTAATTAAATTGTTCATTATAAGCTCCTTTTTTAATTAGTCTGCAATCTAAAGAAAAAAAAACATAGTTTCCTATGATAATAAAGAGAGAACTAAAAGACCAAGCAATTATATTTTAGAGTAATCTTCTATCAAAGTATCTTTCTCAGATTCAAAGAGTGCAAGCCAGTGTTTGTA